TGATTTCTTTGGGGAAACCCCGCGGGGTTGCTCCTCCCATGACCCCTTCAAGCCCTGGCAGCAGAGCCCAGGCCAGGACTCGGGGCTGCGTGAGGCTTTCCGGGTGAGCCTGTGCCCCACAAGCCTGGGGACGGGTACCTCCCCAGCCTGGCCCTGGCGTGTGAACTGGGGTGCTGTGCTCGGTTGCAGATGGTGCTGGTGATCACCTACTATGAGCCCCAGAACCCCGAGTACCAGCACTTCCAAACCCAGCTTATCCTGCGAGCTAAGCAGAATTTCGGGGTGCAGCTCAACTACTCCCTGGTGAGTGAGTCCCCATGCGTGGTGGGGCAGAGGGCACCCTTTGCGTGGGGCTGTGGCACCTTGCCAGGATCCAGAGAGCGAGACGCAGCCACGAGCAATGCCAGAGGGAGCATCCCTGGTGGGAATAGCCACTGGCGCTGCCATCCCCGCAGGGTGCACGTTGGCCGCGGAGTGGAGTTGTGGGACTGAGGGTGGGTGCGTGGCCCTGGCTTGGGGGTCCTGGGGCCAGGGTGCTCCTGTGCGCATGGCCGTGGATGTGCTGAGGTTCCCCCCGGCAGATGAACCTCGTTGCGGGGTGTTTCTATGATGGGATGCTGCTGTACGCCATGGTTCTGAACGAGACTCTGCAGGAGGGCGGCTCCAAGAAAAACGCCACCCACATCATTGAGAAGATGCGGGACCGCAAATTCCAGGGTAACAGTGGGACAGGGGGCAGCTGGGCTGCGGGTACCATGGTGGCGGTGGAACCTGATCCCCATCCCACCTGGGTCTCACTTGTCCCGCAGGTGTGACAGGGCTGGTGAGCATGGACAGCAACAACGACCGGGACACGGACTTCAACCTGTGGGCCATGGGCGACCCTGAGAGCGGGCAGTATGAGGTGGGGGCTGGCACCAGGATCCTGCTGTCAGCCAGGGCTTGGGGACTGGATGCTGGGGCAGGGGGGGCCTCAGCTCTCTCTGACATAGGTGGTGGGACACTACTCGGGTGTGGAGAAGCAGATCCATTGGCTGGGACGACCCATCCCATGGGTGAAGGGGGCTCCCCCCTTGGACAACCCGCCCTGTGTCTTTGAAGTGGATGATCCCTCCTGCGATAAAAGTGAGTGTACGGGGTCCCCACGTCCCTCAGACCCCAGCACCCTTCCCTGTGGGTGC